GCTAGAACGGTTTGCGACAAACCGTCGATAGAGTAGACCTACTTTCTGTGGCTGTTAGACGAACATTTTATTTTAGCCTAATAAGCCCTTTGACTTATTTGTTGTTTGTCGCAAATTTTGCAATGTGTTTCCTAATTTCTACTGGTTTTTCCTTGCTTTTGGTGCGCGTATCTTAATATATTATTATACCTAGATATATATACATATTATATACTTAGATCTAAAACTAATAAAACAATCTTCTTACTTTAAAAAAATATTTATTGCCATTTCTGTGTGGATACCCTGTGATGCTGTAGTGCTGTAACTTACATTACTCTATAACAGTACATATATCATTATTATTATATTATTACAATGTTTTTCTAAAGCTATTGAACTGCATATTAAACTGTCAATTTTATATATCCCAGTGAAGACAACTGCCGTGTTTGCTTTTTTTAAAAACGGTTTGCCTTCTTGTGTGTGTGTGTGTGTGTGTGTGTGTGTGTGTGTGTGTGTGTGTGTGTGTATATATGTGTGTGTGTGTGTTTTGGAGGGGTTTTATGTAGTTGTTGCTTCCATCTGTAATTCTTTAATATAATGACTTATTTCTTTTGTTTTTATAATGTCAATCTACAACGGTGGGTGGGTGGTTGGAGGGTCCTCTGGTGTGGTTTGCTTCTTTCTTTTCAAACATCTATCGTCTTTATCTTCACTCCTTTTTGGTGTTTGTTACTCTCTTGTAACATTTCTAACCTTCGGCACTTATATTTTATATATGACCGTATTGTGTTGCAAGTGCCGTAAAACTCATACAAAACTAAACTACAATTGTGGTGTTTGTGGTTGGCGGGTGCTCTGGTGGTTTGCTTCTTCTTTCCTATCAAACATCTATCGTCTTTATCTACTCTCCTTATTTGTGTGTTTGTTACTCTCTTGTAACACCTCTAATCTTCGGCACTTATATTATGACCTTATTGTGTTGCAAGTGCCGTAAAACACTTACTAAAACTTTTTTTTTTAATCTCCAAAAACGGTGGTTGATTGGCGGTTGCTCCAATGTGGTTTGCAGGTGGTAGGGCGGCGCCACTAGTAGGTCCTACTTCTCTGTTGTTTCTGTCTGTCTTACTTTTTATCCAGCACAAAATGACCACTATTGAGTCAATGTTACAACACCTAGGCAACACAGCGTTACAGACTCTACTGGTTATATTCAACTTAAGCTGGAAAATAGGGCAAGTACCTCAGTGCTGGAAACAAGCAACGATGATCCCAATCCTCAAGCCAGGGAAAAGTAAGGCACAACCATTAAGCTATAGACCTATCAGCCGCCACAAGTTGTGTATGTAAGGCAATGGAGCGCGTCATAGCTTGCAGAATGCAGTGGTACCTAGAGGCACAACACATCATAGTACCAGAACAAGCTGGATTCCGTCAGTTCAGGAGCACAGAGGACCAAACAAAATACTTGTCCCTAGTAATAGGGGACTTCTTCCAGGCACAGAAAGTGATGCTAGCAACATTTGTTGATCTACAAAAAGCGTTTGACAAGGTGTGGAAGGAGGGTCTACTAGTCAAGCTCCTTAGAAGTGGTATCCAAGACAACATGTACCAATGGATCAAATCCTATCTACACAACAGAAGAGCACGTGTGCTGGTGGATGGATACCAAGGACGGAAAATGCTGCTGCGACAAGGAGTACCCCAAGGTGGAGTCATGTCACCTTTGCTCTTTAATTTATCCTCTTCATCAATGACCTCATGAAAGAACTGCCCAAAGGAATACATGCCGCATTGTATGCAGACGACCTGGTTCTTTGGTGCTCTGAGGAATTCGTCACTACTGCCACATATCGCATGCAACTAGCATTGGACAAACTCACTACATGGACAAAAACCTGGTGTGTAACCGTAAACAAAGAAAAGTCTTCTGCTACACTCTTCACTCTCAGCCAGGCTGAGCCAAAACACCTCACATTAGACCAAACCCCCCTAAAGTTTGAGAATCAACAGAAGTATCTTGGAATAATCTTTGACAAGCCTCTCACATGGAAACAACACATTCAGAATGCAGAAAATAAAGCCAGGAAGAAACTTAACATCATGAGAAAACTAGCAGGGACTCAGTGGGGAGCAAATGAGAAAACACTTAGACAGGTCTATCTAGACGTAATCAGACCCCATCTCGAGTACGGATCCAGTGCATGGATGACTGCAGCACAGACTCACAAATACACTCTGGAAAAAGTGCAAAACCAGGCTCTCCGAAAAATCACTTGAGCAATGAGGTCAACGCCTATAGAAAAGATGGAACAAACAACATCTATAGTGGCCCTGCAGAGGAGATGGGAATGCAAGGCCCTCATACAGTACACCAAGGCCACAGCTATGGAGGATCATATACTGCACACAAGAACAGCCAGATCAAACACCACAAGACTCAAAAGATCCAACTTCTTCAAAGAAAGCAGAAAAATCCAAAGATCCCTACAGGACTATCTACCAGTCACAGTTAACATGCTGGACCATACTCCAGAGGCACGATCATGGGAAAACAAAAACACAAACATATCTATACACACGTCCATTCCTATGTTCACCACAAAATATGACCACAGCGACCTGAGCAAGAAGTCCCTCACCCTGTCCATGCTTGAAGAAAGATACCCACGAGAAGCATGGATAAGGATCTATACAGACGGATCTGCCACTGATGCTGTGAAAAGAGGAGGAGCCGGAGTGTACGTACAGTTCCCAAATTGACGACGACAAGCGGAGGCAGTCCCAACAGGGCGACATTGTACAAACTACAGGGCAGAGACAGAGGCTCAAAAACATGCAGTAAACATCATCAAGAATGTGGTAGGGACCCCCAAAGCCAAGTAGTATCCCTAACAGATGCCATGTCAGTACTGCAGGCAATCACTTCCGGCAAACTACCGAGGCTACGAAAAGTAATTGGGGACATCCCATGTCTGAGGATCATGCTGCAGTGGATTCCATCACACTCTGGTGTCTTAGGAAATGAGCAGGCAGACAGGATGGCCAAACTAGGAGCACAGAAAGAGCAACCAGACAACAACATTAACTACACAGAAATAAAAACTATTTTAACACTATTTAAAGCACCTCAGACACCAGATGGCTACCATGAGCTGTCCCGCCAAGAACAAGTCAGTGATTATCTTCAGACTAAGGACACAACACACAAGACTGAGACAATATATGTACAAATGTTTTAAACTAGTGCAATCACCAAAATGCCAGTGTGGAGAGGCGGACCAAACTGTTGAAAACATTCTTCAGCACTGCAAGACACACAGGGCCCTGAGACAGGAAACGTGGCCAACCCCACTAACGCTACAAGAGAAGCTATACGGGCCGACAGATGAACTGTGCAGGACGGCCCATTTTATGACAGATACCAGACTTCAAGTGCGATGCGATCGAGAAGAAGAAGAAGAAGAAGAGTCGATGTGCTTCTTTTTTCTCAAACTTACTCAAAAGCAATGTAGTTTGCTCCTTCTGTCTTATCAAACATCCATCGTTCTTATCTCTCCTACTTTTTTTGTGTTTGTTACTCCCTTGTAACACCTCGAATCTTCAACACTTACTTATATCATCTAATTGTGTTGCTGGTGCCGTAAAATACTTACAACAATAAATACCTTACCGTGCCGGGTTGTGGTCGTATACATAATCTGTCCTCGTCGTTTTATGCAAGAAAAATTCTGAAATTATGCAAACTGACCCCCAAAATGTGAAATTATGCGATTCTGTTAATTTTTTTACAAAGAATGATAAAGGGAAATAATCGGAAATTATGCGAAAAATGATCAAATTTTGCTAAATTATGCGGGGTGCATAAAACCACGGGGACAGAATAATGCACGTTGTCAATAGGATTTATTTGGATGAGTCAGGGCCTATTAGATTTTTTTTTAATGGATAGGACAAAAGCTCTCTAGAGCTATTATTTCAACACAGCACGACCGAATTCCACTAAATTCGACAGTGACCTTCAAAATCAAACACGTTTGTTTTTCAAGGTCGAGAGTCGAATCGGTCATTTTGTGCCGAAATGGTAGCTTGTGCCTCTCCAAAAGTGAATATCTCGCTGGCCCTTACTGAATCAAATGAATTGGATGGGCAGTAGGAGTGTGTACAAGGTATGATTTGGTTATAAATGGCTGTCATTTTCTCGATGACAATGTGATGTTGTTTTGCTTTGTATTATGCTGAAATGTCTATTCCTCTTTCGTGTCACGTTCTCTGATCTCGTCCCTCGTAGAATGTGGTCGTTGAATTTTATCAGTAACTTTATCGCCAAGACAAATCGAAAGAGCACATTGGAAACTTTGTCATAAATCTTGTTGTTGTTGTTGTTGTTGTTGTTGTTGTTGTTGTTGTTCTTCTTCTTCTTCTTCTTCTTCTTCTTCTTCTTCTTCTTCTTCTTCTTCTTCTCTAGCAACCGCTACTGTAAACAAGACTGATTGATTGATTGATTGATTGATTGATTGATTGATTGATTGATTGATACGGTATCTATTTTGCTTCTCCCTAGAATTAGGCCATTGGATTATACGCATGCTAATGGCCGATTTAGTGATTGTGAGGGGAAAAAACAGCAACAGAAAGGAGAGAATTGAGTTATCAACTTGATTATACTGCTGTTATTATTTAAAAGTACAGTATACCGTTTTTACAATTTTACTTGAGAGCCAAAAAAAATGGATTACTGTTTCTAAAAAAACTAACATTTTACGATTTACCCAAGTCAATATCTTTAAGAATGCAATTGTGATAATAACTTCCTTATTATTTTTAAAGCAAACGTTTGTTTTCTTGGTAACAACATTCATTTTTTTGGCTCTTCTTTAAAATTGAACCCCCCCCCCCCCCTGCAAATACTGTACTTTTTAGAATGATGCCAGGATAGCCATGACAATAATTATTACAAAGCTTTGATCAGGATACAAATCTTCTAACAAATTCAAGCATGAAATGAGACTCAAAGTTGCCGGGCTGACATTAGTTTTATTATTAGAACCAAGCAATGCAGAACAAGGAAAACAAACAAAAATATTAATGAAGTCAAGTAAAGGTCAGGTTAAAATTTTTTTTTAAGGAATTTTAGTTTGAGGCCAGCAAAGTTGAAGCCATGAAGCATTCATGAAGAAAGTAATTGTTTAAGAATTTAACCGCTAGTTTTCTAGATTAAAAGACTAAATAAGAAACCATCGACCTTGAAAAATGCACTTGATTTGATTGAAACATTTTATTTGTACATGCATACCGTTAGAAAAATATAGACATTGTTAACTGTTCAGCTGAGTGAGTATCAGAGCTCCAAAGAGAAACAGCTGATGTTCGAAAGATACCCTGTGAGCTGTGAAGTTTCATGGATGTGTCACGACACGGAGGAATCAGGCTCGTCAGTTTTAGGCCCTACAGAATTCTTGGTGTCATCTTAAAGCTTGTTGATATGTCTTAGTTATGATGAAAAAAATACCCTTCTTCTTTAAATAGAAGTCGAGACATTTGCAATTGAAGGTCGCCTGGTATTAAAGGTAATGTTAGTGAGAAAATGGCCGCCAAAGCTTGGCATTTTCCAAATGCTGAGTGTCCTATGAAACTGCAAATTTGCGTGGGTTTTTTTTTGGTATGCCTTTGATCAACGTTTTTCGGTTAAACTCACACATAAATGTGCTTCTAAGCTGACATAAAAGGTGATGAGCCAAAAAGAAAAAGAAATGTTAAAAATCCATATAAATTGGCCAGCGAGCGGGAAAAAAATTAAAAGCTGGTTTCTTCGATAGCATTATTTGATAATCGCCTGATTTCACCACAGTGCCTTAAGGATGTCATTGAGCACATTCAGAATTCTTTCTTCACTCCTCCTGCTGAAGAGCTCGCTCACGCCACAGTGGCATCTGTTTGACCTCTGCTGTCGTCAGTCGCAGCTCTCGCCGGACGTCTAGAGGTGGTTCTTCCAGCGTTGTCAGCCGACGATGTATCGCCATCACCGGAAGCTGCAGAGCCGTCTGCTTGCCCCTCCGCCTTGGCTTTGTCGGCCTTGGCTTTGTCGGCTTCCTCGCGCGCCTTTTTGGCTTTCTCTTCTTGTTTCTGCTTCTCTACAGCGGCTCGTACCTCGGCTTTAAACATATTTCCCAGGCGCGTCACTTGCTCTAGACCTTCCTCGCGCAGTCGGTAGCCAAACACTGGCACTGGGGAAACCAAGACGAGATGAGTTTGAAACTAGAGAAAAAGTAAACATACGTTTGATATTTCAGGCTCTTCAGAAACGCCATAATTTCGAGGATGGGGGTTATACTCAGGTACACTGTGACTGCACTGGAATGTTTGCTGCTGCTTTCTGAAAAATACTTAACCTTCTAATATATTGACATGTATACTGTGTGTGTGGTTGGCTGGCGCTCTGGTGCGGTTTGCTCCTTCTTTCTTATCAAACATAATCTATCGTCATTATCTCTCCTCCCTCTTTAACATAATGTAATGCTTCTAATCGTTGGCACTTTAATGACCTAAGTCTATTGCAAGTGCCATAAAACTCTTATTAAAACTAAAACGTTTTCTTTTGAATTCTCGGGAACATGGAGCTGGGCATCTGGTGCTTTTCGAAAAATATGCTCACTTTTATATTATACACTGTATACTGTGTATATATGAGAAACCCCATTTCTTTTATCGGTGCCATTTGTGCATGTTATGGTTTTAGAAACTTTAAAATCAATCAGCTTTCCATTCTTTCGAGTTCGGCATCTGTCTGTGATGAAGCAGCGAGTTCGATTCTCGCGTCAGGAAGATTTTTATCATCGAGTACCTCCGTCTATCTGCTGGGATGTTGGACCCTTCTCAGCCGGAGGTTGGCCCCGATAAATAGCCTGCCTCCTAAACGATCTAAACAGAGCTTCTTGATGTGTAAAACACTTATAAAGACATTTTTCTTGCGAGGTTTCCAAATCCTTGAATATTGGTGATCGTACCCGCTGAGGATGTTTACAGTTTTAATTTAGAAGCCACACCTGCGACAATTAATATTAAATAACTAGACTGTATTGCATAAAAGACATGGTGTACTCAGCAGTCATTTAAAAAGAGTAGGTGTTTCTACTCTCAAATCGACACAATTTAGATCTTCCAGAAGGCCGCTCCGACCCTGCCCGTCAGGACCAATTCTGGCTGAGAGGGATAAAACATACCAGGAGAATTTGAAGACCGAGAGATTCGATACAAATTCTTCTCCTAAGGGAATCAAACTCGGGTCTCCCACCTGCAAAAGCAAAGCACCTGACTGTTACACCACAGACACCGGTTCAGAAATCCTGTCAGATATTAGAAAATGTACACAAGAAAGACACCAGACAGTATAGTAGCGAGAGCATACAACCAGAGATCAGATGGATACACAGAAGAGGCAGGCCCTAGAAAAGAGATAGCATATAATTATAATGCATTGGGGGGGGGGGGGGGGGGG